AGGGGGGGGAGAAAATTAAACACTAGCTTTTGTTCACTACACTTACCTCTCTCTCTTCAGGTTTCAGACAGAATTTTCTTGTCTGTTCCTGTCATTCACACAAAGTAATGTTGCTCCCTTTTTCTTTTCTTTCTTTGGAAGACAGGATCAAATTGTCCCTGTCTCAAATCATGCTGCAGAGGAGGTCAGGGAATGGAGGAATGGTGCCATGGTCACAGTCTTACTGCTTCTCCTGCGTGCACTCACACGGACCGACAAAAGCTCTGCATGTACTTCTATTTAAACACTTATACCGTAATTATAAAATAGCAAGTGCTTCTTTTGAAAAGAAAGAGCGAGTGAAATTAGTCCCAATGAAACATTAGATATCACATGATTTTCCGTTCCTCACCACTGCATGCAAAACCTCAAAACGTGTGCAGAATAAATCTTTTATTTGAATTAATTGTACAAAAAAGTCTAGTTACCCAAAAGAAATGCGAATAATATCATGATGGCAACATGCACAACCTCTCACTGCATCACTGAAATGTGTAAAGTGTAGATGGTGCAGGCTTCAACAGGTGAGACAGAGTGTTACCTTACTCGTTTCTTTACTGCAGAATTCTCATGTGTTGTTTGCATTTTGTAAAGTTTGTGTATGCTTCTGTACATTTTATTGTATACTGTAATGGAAAAAAATTCTAATCTAAAGTAAATTAAAGATGGAATTTTCAGGTTTGGATTACCATTGTGTCAAATATAAAGGTTTAGTGCTAAATAGGATTGGATTATATTTTACCCATGCTGAAAGTTGGGGTGTGGGGCCACTTCAAGGCTTCATGAGTCAAGTTTTAAAAGTGTGAAATTGCTTTGTAATAATGCATCTTGCGGCATAATGCAGTTGTGACCATGCCAGGTCTCCTGATCTCTGAGTCAGTCAGTATCTGTGTGTGGGGACATACAGTGGAAGGTTTTGAGCACAAAAGAATGAGTAAATGGCTCTGATCTGTACAGCAAACATGCAAATGGCAGTTTATACAGAAAAACACTGACATGACAAATGGCGTGATGCACAACTCGTTTATACTCGACCACTTTTTCATTCGATTTCATCATGTTCTTTTTCCAAAATAATTTCTTTCTGTTGCAATAATTTTAACGCCAAGATATCACAAAACAGCAAACAAACCAAAGATAAAATCAGTCCTGAAGCTTCCGAAGCTTGCACAGAGCTTGGGCTAGTTTTGATTATTCAAAACTCATTTGGTGATTACTTCCCATATCTTCATAAACACATCTCATTTGAAAGAGATTAGTGTAATTAAATTCACTACAGAGCAATAACTAAGTTTGAAAAAGCATAGTTTTAACACAATGGGCATGAACCTATTAGCCCTTTAATGAACAGTGTTCACCCATTTGGTGGAACATAATTCAATTATTTTCTTGTAGCTAATAAAGATGCTGGCAAAGCAAACCTGACTAAACCATTTCTACCACTGGAAATCACATTTAGATATGTTTAAAAAGAGGTGATATCTACACAATTTATTTTATTTTCAACACATAATTATTGCTCCGTGGAACTAAAAAAATGGTAAAGAAACTATTTTCCATTGCCTTTTTTCTCAGCGAAGACATTGAAAGGTTAAAGTATCTTGTATTAAATTCTAGCCTCCTAATATCAACAGTTGTGTCTAGCACAATTAATCACTACTTAATTTCATCTAACTACTTTAAGCAATTTTGTTTTAAAGGCCAGAGCCTATCTCGTGAAATACTAAAACTCTCCAATCTGCTTCCCAATGAAAGGATTCCAGAGAGTCCTAGGAGTCCTTCATTAAATAAACAAGCCCATTGTCAGGTGTTTATATTTCCCCAATTCCCTCTTAATGTCTATGCTTAATCTATGTCTTAACTATACTTTTCTTTTTTCCTTTTTTTCATGGTTGATGCCGTAGAATACAGTTCGCCAAAGTAATCGAAACCAGCATTGTGGAGTAATGCCCAAAAGGTTTTGACACAGTAAGCCTTACATCCACAATCACAGCCTGTACTTGATGAAACTCACATTAAAATCTGCATTCTTTATAATGTTGTCATTGTCACTTTGGGGCACAGGTGTTCACAACAAGCCTGAACTTGCAGAGGATTTAGGAAAAGCCTGCTCTTCCACCACCACTTTTTAACGTGCTAACATTCCTGTACATGTTGGAGTATCAGCTCATGGAGAGGTGACTTCCTGTTCCAAGGTGCCATGAAATGAATACATCTCCTTCATTCCCCTTGTCCTATCTAACGTACAAGCATTCTTCTGTCATTACAAATGGATGCTGGTCTGTTTGGTTTTTAAACTGGGCCAGGCAGTTATTAAATACACCCCGCCACTAACGTTCGTGCATTCCTCTTGAGATGGTGGTGTGCGCCCACGCAACACAATTAACACGGAAAAGAGAAACTACATATACCGTGCTGATGCAAACAGAAAGTAATTATCACATACTTTGTATCAAATTGTATGTGATGCATAATAATAATAATAGATAATTGTGCTTTTAACAGAGCAAACTGCAGGTGGAAAATATTCATTTTATGGGGCTTTTGCTGTAATGAAGAAATTGACGCACCCAAAAAGCAGGTAAATCATGCACATGCTCCAAATCAGGTACAGATAAGAAACAATGACATAAAGGTTGAAGAGAAACATTACTCTTTATGAATAATCTATAATAAGAGGTTTTTGCATTGGTAAATTGATTCCATTTAGATTTTTGAAGAAAACAAAGATCGGAGAGGATTTAATATGGAATCCAGGGCTGCATGATGCAAACACATTTATAGTAAGTAATCAAGAAAATGAATATAAGCAATAACTGCATGCTTTTAAAAGTGATATGCATGCATATATTCTGTCATTTAAAGTTTTTCTTCCACTGGGCACTTACAGCTTTGTCAAAGGGCTACATATAGATACATGTGGCACAAACCACTAAATCCTAATAAAAATACACAAGAAGTCACAACTTTGGATTCAGAGGGGTCTTAATATTCTTGGTTTCACTTAAACTTTTTATTTTTAAACAATGTGTCCACACTGAAATTTTCATTTGCAAATTACCTGATACATCCAAGTTATGTTCACCTTAACAACATTTCTATAATTTACTAAATAATTTGGAGAATTTTTCACAATTTAAAAAATGTGTTGGCCATTTCTGTTTTAACAATTCCTTTTCTTAAAGTTCTACTTTTTGTAGAGTTTATAAAGTGAACTAAATGGCACAGAAGTCAGCTAAGTAAGCAACATTGCTTTATTGACATCAATGAAAACCATAACTTAGATTTAGATAAAACACTTTTAAGAAATCTCTCTCTGAAGGGTTTTCCCTTTAATTCACAGTATTAAAAAAACTTTAAACTCCCAATACATGGAAAATGTTTTCCTTTAATCAGGTGTAAAAACCTGTTAACACCCCCAAAAAACAAGCACCTGTGGATTTAACTTGTTTCACTTCGTCACAAAGCTGTAATCATTGTCTGTGTAAAAGATTTCTGTGGCCCATAACGCCATGTCTCATTCCAGAAATGCATTGAGGACACTAAAGCATGACAATCTTGGAGAACAGAAATGCTTTGTAGTTTGGAAGGAGAATATCTTTCATCTCCTGGACACAGAGCAGAGCCAGAATGGTAAACGCCTTTAAGACTTTTTGTTGTTTAGTGATGCACAAGATGCAAAAACAACCCACTAAACGTAGCAAAAGCCGTCATAAAATGTACACTGATAGAAGATTATTGTACATTTGCTGTCACAAGAAAGCTGTTATAACAAACATCCATTTCCAATATCATTTAGATGTATCTCTTCATGCAGCATTCTCATAAACTGATGATCAGTTTATTTAAGAGCACAAAGAAATACTTACCAAAAATATATTTAATCTCTTGTTTTGCAATCAAACATCCACGTATTTAAATGGTCAGATTTGCACAAGCAAAGTGTAAAAGAAGCTATCAAGCAAAAAATCAGCTATGGGAATCTTGCACGGGGATGTCTTTGTTTGGAGTTCAGCAGTTGCACAACAAACTGATATTTCGGCTGGCCAGATCTGACCGGTTCCTTCCCGTCACTGGTAATAAAAATGATTCGAAGCCGATTTTAGCATTAGTTGAAGTTTGGCATTTATGTCTAAATTTCACTGCAAACAACTTCAGCTTTATGATTAAGAAATTCTTTATACATATAATAGCGAAAATATTGGGATAATAATGTCACACCATTAAGATGTTTTATAATTGCTTTCAATAGGTCATGGAAACACTGACTCATCAGACTCTTAACTTGATTTGTACCTGAGTTGTAAGTATGACGAAAAAAAGTTGTACTAATATGTCACCCACACCCTTTACTGTCTTATCTTTTGTTTTTTTTTCACTGTCATAGTCACGCTCTTGACAAAGTGAACTGTTTCCTCTTTATTGCCAAATGACAAAAAGACACCATGTAATATGGTGCCATGATGTTATCAGTTTTATAAGCGTAAAAATGTGCCCATGTTCATATGAAGATATATCTTGCATTTCAATTGTTACTTTCTTTGGCTGACATTACTTTGGAATTGAACGCAAAAAATATTCAACTAACAATGCTTTAATAAGTCCAAAAGGTCTATTTGATTACAAAAAGCGAATACTTAACATACAAATAATCAAACGTAATACAATTGGACCATTAAATTAATCCATCTTTATCTTCCGTCGTGAATGTTCTTACATCTATCTTAGCTCCACTGCACCATCTAGTGTCCCTCTGCAGTACTGCAGACAATGGGTGAAACGCCAGCAACGGATTTAAAACAATTTATAGGTTAACCTTATATAAAAGGAGAAGAGCCGTGCCACGAACTAATAAGTTGAACAATTAAAAATAAAGGCTGAGCGTTAGTAATTGTTTCTGGCCATGTGACGTGTGCGTCATTCTTCCGTCAGGGCGCAGCCTGAGTCAGGTGAATTCAATCCGGAAGTGATGTTTCTCGCGCAGAAGATGGTGTCTCCGAGCGCCCAGAGCTAAACAAATATACGCGCATATAAATGTGAGCTATATGCTTTATTTCAGGGGATAAACGAGACGATGAAATGAAATACCTGGCAACTGAATGTTCGGCTACTCTTTATGATAAATAAACAGCCCATGAAGGAGGACAACATGGACAACAGCTGGGCTCCACTGGGGTCATATACGGTGAGATTGTGCTTGTTGTTACCGGCGTTTCACACCGTGGTTTCTTTCGAGTACTTATTGGTCGGTCTTACAAAAAAAAAGTTACTGTCCAGCTGTGTTTTTCTTAAATAATTTACAAGAAAGTAGCCTACAACAAGACTGTCGGTACCTCGTGCTGTATATACAGTTGGTCTGGAAACGGAAAAGCCAACACGTCCAGTGGAAATGTATTTAAAACCCTGAGCTGCAATAACATTCCATTTCTTTGTAACTTTGTTTTTCAGGACAATCTCATTGGGACTTTACTGGCCATTTTTGGAAATGTGCTGGTCAGCATCTCATTGTGCATTCAGGTATTGCACTTTTCTTCTATAAAACACCTCACAGGTGTAATTGTAATATCATTTCATATCATGTACCAACCTTTTAGATGTATAAGAAGATGTACATACAAGTAAACAACTACATATATTGCTGTCTAAGTGCAGATGTCATGTGTAATTGTCTGTTTACCCAGACCTTGTGCTAACAGGGCTCCTGGCTTGAACTTGCCAGAATAATCCTTCAGGGACGGGCCGTGTGTACAAGTTCTATTTACAATGCCGCTTTTGTTACACATAAGTGTAATTGATCTATTGGCTATCCCGTCTTTATTCTCCTTTCAAAATATCGAGTTAACAGTACTGCTTTAAGCTACGTTGTAAGCCTTGTACTGCAGTGGGTTATCCTGTGTACTCCCTCCCTGTCCTCTGACTCACCTGCATGCCCTCAACAGAAATACAGTCACGTTACATTGGCAGGACGAAAGGACCAACGCGCCTTCTACCGCACTAAAACCTGGTGGTCAGGTTTTGTATTTACCTGTATAGGGGAAGTAGCCAACTTTGTCTCGTACGCTTTCGCCCCCCTTGCTCTTGTGGCTCCTCTGAATGCAGTGTCAGTCCTGAGTGAGTATTTACACCAAATATTAGCCACACCAATGTTTACATGGACATATACATGAGTGTGTGTATATATACATCTTTTTCTCACGTTCTTTTTTTCCTCCAGCAAGCTCAATTTTGGGCTTCCTATTTCTGAGAGAGAAATCTAAACCAAAGGACTTTGCGAGTAAGTTTAAAAAGCATCAAAACGTAGTTCCCCTTCTGCTGCTGTAAGGGCGAACATGGTGCTATGAAATTCCGGCAGTGTGACTGAAGTGCTTCTCTGTGCTGTTTCAGAGCAGTATGGGCTGACCTTCCTGGGCTACATCCTCACTACGGGAGGAACATACCTCTTCGTGGCATTTGGACCCAACTCTCATGAAAAACTCGAAGCAGAGAACATCGTGAAGCACATTGTGGGCTGGCCGGTTCTGTTGTATCTGGTAAGGAGTAATTATTTAAAAACATCCTGCTCAGCAGGACAATATTTAGTGACTGATCTATCTATGGTTGAGATTCAGAGATGTTAAGTCAGCTCAGTATTATTTCTGCATTCTATTTTGTAAAGCTTGTAAAAATGCTTGCTTATTCCAGGCATATGCACGGCCAAATGTCCACTATCCGTTTACTGGTAATGTGCTTGTTATTTTATCATCATAAGCTATGGATTTGATGTTGACCGTTGCCGTTCTTGTAACCTACAGATGCTGGAGATCATCACGTTCTGCCTGCTTTTATACTTCTACAAGCAGCGCGGCACAAACTACCTCATTGTTATTCTGCTGCTGGTCGCATTGCTGGGTGAGTGTTCTACATCAAAGGCAGTCAATTTCTCACCTCCCACGAGGTCAGCCTGTTAGCGTAGCTGGTGAGGACACATGGGCAGGTGACCGCTGACGCTGCTGTGGAACCTCGTTTCTGTGCGTGTGAACAGGATCTGTCACAGTCATCACAGTGAAGGCCGTTTCAGGCATGTTTATTCTCACCATTGAGGGCACCATGCAGCTTGACAACGCCATCTTCAGCGTCATGCTCGTGTGCATGGTGGCGTCGGCGATCTTCCAGGCCAAGTGAGTGACCCAGTTGTTGAAGATTTGTAACATTTATTTTAGTTTATTTTGTGGAGAAACTCGTCTTTCACAGCTCGATCCGATCTTGAGCCATGCTCTTTCGACAGCAGTTCATCCCTCACTCTGTTTCTCTAATCCTAGATTTCTCTCTCAAGCCTGTGATCTGCATGACTCCTCGCTGATCGCCAGTGTGAACTACATCCTTTCCACCTTTTTTGCAGTAGTAGCTGGTGAGTAATGGGGGTTTTCACTTTGGGTCAGAGCAACTCTGTGTGCCACACATTAGAGCCACACAAGTAATCGAAGCTAAGTAATCAAAGCTTTCCTCTTCTCTCCTCCTCTCGGTTTTTAGGAGCCGTGTTTTACATGGAGTTTAGAAATGAAGATGTCCTCCACATCTGCATGTTTCTGTTGGGGTGAGTAACATTTCCCATTTTGGACATTTCACAGTGGGAAGAATAAGGCAGAATGGTTGTGTTTAATCTAAGCTGAATTCGGTTTGGTCTCTTGGAAGTCTGAAAGTTTTGTGTGCTACAGGATGCAAACTGAAAAGGTTGTTGATATGCACATGTTAGAATATAGATATGCAGTAGAAAAGCCATAGTGGTACTTTGAGATAACAGCTGTGACTGATTGTGTTGGTCTCTGCACAGTACGGCGTTGTGCTTCCTTGGTGTCTTCCTCATCACCAAAACCAGGAGAAAGACAAAGATGTTTGAGCCATACGTCACTATGAACATGGCTAATGGTTTGTAGAAACTTGGATGAACCTCGCAATGTATCTCTGTTTTTTCTGTAAACACTCATACTGTAGTGCAGGTCATATGATCTCCACAGTTCCTCAGGTGAAGCTGTCCTTGTTCCCTTTGTTTGCGAACCTCTGCCATGACCAGGTGTTCCAGCCATCCACGACCTGAGCCAGGCGGTTCAGCCCGAATACAGTGGATCTTTCTCCTATGGAGCTCTTGTCAACAACGATGGAGTGGCTCCCGCTTCTCTACCAGTCAATTTGGAGGCACCAGCAGTCACTGCCAAAGCCTCAGACGCATTTCATGACAAGCCTGGCCTAAAGACAGACTGAAGCCTGCCACCCACAAGTCAGGTCAACCTGAACCAAAGTTCAAGGACCTTAAAGTATCATGGTAGCTGTGCCTCATTCCCTTTCTTCAAAAACACTAATTGTTTTCTGTCCTCGCCTTACACTCCCACACCTAATCACCGTTTTGGAATTTCACAACTGAAACAGATCTAGAAAAGACCATTTGGACCATAGTGAGAGGTGTAAGATGAGAAGACCTTCTGGTGGAGCCCAGACGAAGGGACTGGGTATATCCTATGCAGAATTAGTTTTCTATCTGGTTTCCTATAAATATTGGGCCCCTGCCATATTGGACACGTTTGGCCTGACTCATAAGAGTCGTCTTTCATTAAAAAGCTCCGGCTCCTGCTGGTGCGAGTCTCTGCTAGCACCACTCCCTCACATGTCCTGGGTGGAGTTCAGATCGGAGCAAAACAAATGGAGGTGACATGGTAGTGAAAAGCAAAAGCACACCAGTCGCACCTTGAAGCTTCCTGCTGTATCCTGTGTGCTCTCTTTGACCAGCCAGCGAACCTTGACTTCCCAGTAAGTCATTAGTGATAATGCACTGTGCATTGATCTGTTCTTCCATTGAAGATTTGTGCTGATAGCAAATCTCGAGTCAGCATTATTGTAATGTAGCAGCAGAGTTTTTGGAGGACGTGCCAACGAACATTTTGCCTTTAAACGTCTGGCTCTACTTTTGTGCATGAAGGATTTCCACCTACTCTTCAGCCTATTCGCTGGATATCTTTAAATGATTGTTTTCCCGATTGGACCAAAGACTATGTTCAACTGTTTTAATTTATTGGGTCTTGTTTATTTATTTAGCTTTTACTGTGCCTTAAAGTGTAGCTCCACACTGGTCAGATAAATGAATCGGCATATAAGTTTGTTTGTTTTTTTTAGCATTTTTCTTATGAAAAAAGTGGTTTCGATCTCCAATCTAAGAAAAATCATAGAGGTGCAAATGATGGAAAACTTTTAACTGAAGCACGTAGGTAACATATCATGTTTCTGGTATATTTAATTTCCATAACTTAAAAAAAAAAAAAAAAAACATTTTTAAAAGGAAATTGGCTCTTTTTTTCTCTTCAGTGTTAAACAACAGCGTTATGGAAGGGCTAAATGAGGTTTATGTGGCCTGCTTGCTGAAATATGTTGTGGTGTAAATTAACTGAAGTTGGGCATGTTATTTATTCCAGCCCCTGCCAGGCTAGAAAAGGTTTCTGTTGTAAATAATATGTACATGAATTCATGTCAACCAGTTGTTGAGTCACTTTCAGTTGGACTTGCACAGTCTGAGCGTGCAAAGACAGAGAAGAGTAACTTCTAGTTCATACTGGATAAACATTTCTCATTTGTTTGAATACATTAAAACCTACAAGGTCACATGTCTCTGTAAGCATGCACCTTTGTGTAGCTTGAAAAACATTGTGCAAAGATTTTCTGTAAAACCTCAAGAAATTAAACATGAACTTAGCACTTAAAAAGGTGTATTATTTGTATTACTGTAGAAGTATTTGAAACTGATGGAGAAATCAAAAGTGAAAGTAGTTTCTTGTCCCTCCTCATGGGCAGCATGGTGAGCATCACCAACTATGGTGTTTCATTGTAAAGCACAAACATTTGGCAGCAAGATGTAGAATTAAAAATCAACACACAATTTAAATGACATTAGTCTACAGAAGCTTTAGTGACTAAGCAGCTTATATAAGGTACATTAATAATATTTTGGATTCAGGAGGTGTTAGAAAAGCCTGGACCTGTGCTGTATTATCGTGTTTTAAGCCTATCATGAAAAACCCTCACTTCTGAGGTGTATAATTGTATGACTTTGAAATTAAATGTGTATTATAGAATACAATTGAAATACTCAAGTGCAGGTGGAGGGCCGCAGGACAGGGTGCTGACACCCTCTGCTTAAAGAGCAACAAGTGGTTCCACTGGGCTGCTGGAATCGGTTTTGGACATATTATTGTCTCTGAACCTCATTATCTTAACACAACAGGCGAGACGGTGCGCATTCTCAGGCCGTGACTCACCAGACTGCCCGCGTATAAAATGATTAAACCAGTTTGCATGGGGAAATATGTGTCACTTCGCTCTTCGATCGCCGCCTATCGTGAAGCGGAACACCTTCCCCTGCTGCAACCTGATTGGTCGCCGCGAGCCTCCATCGGTGTCCCATTGGTTTCACCTGCCGCTCCCGACGCTCTGATAGGCTGCGTCTGGCAGCTTCCCAATGACCCAGGGAAAACAAACACCCGAACGTCTGACAGCGACCTCAAAAATAACACACTAGCTACGTCCAATCTGTATAATTCACCAAAGTTAAGTGACATTTCAGATTCTTGCCCGCCTGAGATGGCTTGCTTCGGACGCGTCCACTGACCCCAGAGTGGTGAGTAAAGACAGAGGCAGGGGGGTTTGTATCTGAGGCGATTAGAGAGGGAAAGTACAACAGTATACTTCATCCGCGCGCGCCCTGCTGTGACTCAGTGGAAACTTTGGTTTAAATTTAACCTGCAGCGTGGCTTTAAAACGATTTTTGGTGCTGAAAATAAACGTATTATGTCAGGGATATTTAAATGCCAGCGCCAGGGTATTCATACGTTTTATCCCACGGGGGTTTAGTCCCCAAACCAAAGGTGTTTTTTTTCCGAGATCCTCCACAGCCAGTTGACAGCGGATATATTACGTCATGGTTTTTCTTTACCCTTTTTGTTTATCTTTTGACATGAAAGGCCCAGGTTAAAGTACTGATTAAAAGTCATGCATTTATGTTTCAAATATCTATCATACGCTTTATTTTTCTCTCAGATATGAGTTTGTAATATTTATAATAGTAATTTGCCCACAAAGACCACTAGATGGCGCCGTAGGCCTGATTATGTCGAGTGGAAGAAGGGATTTTCCCCTCAACCAATTTGTTTCTTATATAATTTGTGATAATTTTTGCATTTTTGCTCCCTTCACTAACATAGTGGAATTAAAAATGAAAGAACTATAACAAAATCAACAAATCATTCTTAAAAGCCAATGAATGCTAATTAATTGATTAGTGGTCATTTTTCCACGAAATGTGTAAATTAAAAAGAAAAATGTACAGTATTTCTCTTGATTTCTTTCCTCTTTCACTGTCCTCACACTCCTTTTCTATTACTTTTATACACCCTGTTTAGTTATCAGTACTGAAAATAAGCAAAGAAACTGAACTTGATGGACCACTTTGTCACATCTTGCACACATTTCCAGCCAGCAGTGTCACTTCTCTCCCCCGCTAACACGATCTTAATTGACCTTTACCCAGTTTCTAGCCCCAGTGGTGCCCATCTTCCCCAAAGGATTCTGAAAACATTGAAGATGCTGCGAGAGAGCTCAAAGGCATGGAGCAATGGCTCAGAGGCCTACAGCAGTGATCCCGAAGAGGAGGAGGAGGAGGAAGAGGACATGGTGTTTGGGGAGAGCGATCAGGACGGCCTTGCAGATGAGATGATGGACCTGAGTGACCTTCCTACAGCGCTCTTTGCGTGCAGCGTCCACGACGCAGTGTTCGAACAGGACACACACAGGGTGAGATGCAGCAAAGCGGTGTGTTTATGGTGTGTGTATGTGTGAATGCGTGCTACAGTTTATTCATCTTGCTCTGTTTGTCGGACGGTTCTAACATTTAAAGCCCGGCCATAAATGCACGGCTCCAGCTCCTGTTTGCGGACACCCAGGCAAAGTCTCCCGCTGCGCTGCTGATTGCTCAACTGCAAACGCACACACACAAACACACACACACACACACACACATCAGACACACCTGATGCAGCCGTCATTTGTTACACAACAGGAGGCATGAATGCTGGTCAGCGGTTTACACGACTTGCACAGAATCAGGAGGCAGACGCAGCCTTTATCCATGAGTCACCGCGTATCCTTCAGCTGTCACCCCATGCGGTGTGTTGTTTGTGCCTAATTATGCCCAGCTTTGTGTTGGCCAACAGGCCTCTTACAAAATCCCACGCACATATGTGTAAAGCGCACTAACATTTTTGACCATGCGCAGACTTTTTCTGTTTGTCCAGTATTTGTCCAGCTTAATCAGACTGGTGGACCAGGAATATTCAAGAATATTGTCTCCTTTTTTGCTGGAGGACAGTACAAAGAAATCTAACTGTGCTGTCTGTGATCCCTTCTCCTTGCAGCTGACACTCTTGCGCCTTTCGTCTGAAGCTCTTTCTGTACGGTGCTTCACTATACTGACCTCTCAAAGCTGTCCAGTTTATCTCCATGGTAACTGTATTCTCTCTCTTCCTGTGAGCACAGTTTGCAAACTTGCTTATTAAGTTTCCCATCTGTATCTTGTCTTTTATTGACCTTCTCCTTGTATAGTAATCCAAAGCAGAGGGGGCTATATTTGGCGCACACACAAAATCCTGCTAAATGAATCACTCTTGCTTTGTGATGCTGCCGTGTGTACGCCCATCACTCCATCAGTGCTGGAGTCCACCCCTTCCCTCCGTTCACTTTGCCTCCTCACTTCATCACGATTCACACTCTGGCTTTGAAGTGGAAATGCCACCCACACAAACACTTCAGTCAGAACATGTCAATAGAGCATACTCCATATGTTTAAGTAAAGCAAGCCTCGCTAAAAATAGAACTTTCATCATTTATTTTGACTTTGAAAATGAAGACATAAACAGAGGGATGAGGTATGAGCTGTTTCATATATTCTAGGAGCATGAACGGGGACTTTATTCAGGTTTGTTAATCAGGAAAAAAAATCTATGTTGAACTATTGGCCAAAAAATCTTAACATCTCTGAATTTTTTTCTACTTTTTCTGTAAAGAACAGGAACACTGCAACCTACATTTTTGTGTCTTTGGGCTCTTGGCTTTCTCCCAATACCGACATTACCGTCTGTGTCTATTCTCAAAGGCCTGCATGTAGAAGGATGGGCTGTTTCTGTAATCACACTCTCTTAAGAGGAGAGACTAAAGGAGGGACAGACAGAAGATAACAGAGAGAAAGAGAGAGAGGCATATGTGTCTATATTTATGAGAGGCTCTTACAATGCTGTAAAAGCCTTTTTGCTTGCTTTTGCATGGGTGAAAAGTCAGAATATCCCACTGGCACACTTTTACATGTATCTGCAGTTATTTCTTTTTTTCCACCAGCTTTAAAAATGCTCATTGTGTCTGTGGAAAGCTCTTCTGAGGTTAGATAAGCCAACTGACAAAATATGGGTTATAGCGCAATTACTAATTCAAATGTATTCAAATAATTAAAACTCGGATACACTCGAGCACTTCATGATTTTACGTATTTTGCAGAATATTCAAATGTGTGGTGTTGGACTTCTTATTGAGCATGTAGGATGAATATGCTGGCAATTGTTAGCAAAATGTTGAGATCAGAGGCTTTTTTCAAATTTCATGGTGACATTTTCTCTATGGCATAATACAGGATTTAGTTTTTAGTGAATTGTAGACCACTGAAAATGTTCATTTATTGGAAATGACTATTTGACTTCCTGTATTTTGTATTTGTTTCTGCATAATTGCCATACACGGCTGACTCTGTGAACCTTCGCGGCTACTGTAGTGTACACACGAATCATTACAGCATCGGCGGAAAATGGCAAATAGCGAAAGAGTGAGACACAGCAGTGTGTGCAGACAAAGTAACAGAGGAGAGGGGTTTCTGTGCTTGCCAAGACAAAGGTCAGAGAAGCTATTATAAATCTTTCCACATTGTGCCCAGTGTATATCAGGCCTAATCAGCACTGTGCAAAGCTTTCCCTGCAGCCCCTGCTGCTGTCAGATGGAGCCTTCCTCAATCCACACAGTCCGTGCAATCAAACAGCTGCCAGTCTGGTAAAACATGAAGCTTTTTTTCCCCCTCCTTTATCTTTCAGACAGGAAAATTATTTTCTGAAGAGGTTTTTGTATTTTAACAGGATCCCTCTAGAATATGCTAATTAAAACCCAAAGCAGAGCAGAAAATGTGCACTTTTTGGTTTACAAAAGGTTTTTAATAGGATGGGGTTGTTATTGCTAACAAACCCGTTGAGAACTATGAGAGGACCCAGCTGGTTTTCTCAGCTCATCAGAGCTCGTCTTCACTATTTTTGTTCTAACAAGCCACAACTTTACCATTTAGGTCCCACTTCTGCCTAATCTCTAGCAGCTGAAAGCCATTTCAGTCAGATAACACGGTTTGATAACCTGCCTGTAAACAACCCACTCAAAAACAAGAAAGTTACAGATTGAATGTATAGCCAGTGGCAGAGGGTACCTTCAGGAGTGCTCAGTCAAAATATGACTTCAAGAAAAAATGGGTCCAATCAAATGATCTAAAAATGGTTTCTCCGCGTCTTATCTGAAGTTTTTTATTACCTTGGCCTTGTTAGGAAACATCACATAGTTAAGGAGGGTTGGTAGGACATAAGAACTCAGGAAAGGTCAGCCCTGCTGAAATGAGAACACTGAGCAGTGATGTATGTTTGAAACGCTGAAACAATAACCCCGTAGAATATTTTACACAAAGAAGACCTCTATACAAAAAGATAGAATGTGGAATATGTCACTGTCACATTCAATGTCAAGTTATATACTAATTCTGATTTGTAGTCCTGTGTGACGTCTGTGTAATTTTACCAAAAAATGTCTCTTAATACAGCATAATCAAAAAAGCACCCATGTCAGCACATTTAGTTTGGAATAACTACTGGGAAGGGTTTCCATTAAAAATGGATCACATTTTCTAAATGGTAATATGTAAATAGCTTCTAGAAAAATCACTTATTGTTTATACCATTGTAATATATTCTCTTTATGAATATTCATTTGACTTCAGAACCAAGAAAACTTCAGATGAAACTTGATTTGGTTTAGATAAAAAAAAAATCTCTGAACTTTAACTATTGAAAATAAATATTTAAGGTAGAGCAGAGAAAGAGAGGAAGATATATTAACTTCAACAGTTGGATTGTTTCTGCACAGACGCCCCGAGCTGCACCTCTCAGCGACGCATCACCAGCAGAAGTATGGTGGGCACTTAAGTGAAATGTGTTTGATAGAATAACTTATATATATGATGGACTCTGAACTGAGACAACACCAGTGCAGAGTGCCACTCAGACATGAATGACTAAAGATAATGTCAATCTGAATGTGGAAAGTGAGACAAGTGTGGATGTGTGTGGGTTGTTTGTCCACATGCGGTATTTACATATAATGGGCATGAATGCGTGCGTCCAGTTGTGATATGTTTGCATGTGTCAGACTGCAGTCTATTTTTGGGCATCGGTCCTCGGGGCTGAACGTGAGGCAGTGGGTGCTTGGCAGACTGAAGGTCAGAGATAATGCAGTCGAGAGTGAGCGAATGCCCCTGGCCCCCCGCTCCTGCAGCGGCCTGGATATTATTCTGGTACACTGACCGGGCCAGCGTGCTTGTTCTCCCTTAATTCGTTAAAGAAAGCAGAATTTCTTGGACAAGTTGACAGCAGGAGAATGCACAATGTGGTCAGAGTGAGCCGATGCTGTTCTGAGTATTTGAGAAGAAAACAGCCTTTTTTCTAACAGTGACTGTTTGAACTGTATTGCTCTCTGATTGATGCATATCCCAATTTTAAGTTAGATTTTCCTATAAAGTCTGTGGCTCTCCTGAGGCCGGAGTTCGACTGTGTTGTAAATAAGGCGAGGCCATGGCAAAAATATTTACAGGGGTCAGGAACTGTTAAAATGGTGCATAAAGAAACTTTATCTCCCTTTACGCTGGTTAAATCCACCTCACACAGTCAGTTTGTCCAAAACTCAAAGAAAGCCAAAGAAAGGACTTTAAAAAAGAATTAGCTGAGTGTATTGGTACTAAACTAGTGTTTATTAAGAAGGATTTGTGTCTAATAGGATGGGGAAAGGTGGGCAGATCCTCTCCTACCTCTTGGGCTTTTTATTTCTGCGTCCTCCCACTGTTGCTGCTTCACTGACAGTTAGTGATATCTGACTTCCATTTAGCTCGCTCAGTTTCAGGGTCCTGATATTGGACATGCTGGCTCACTGTCACTCGAGTAGACATCAATAACGTTATTATCAGCACAGGTGCTTGTATGTCGATAAAACCTCAGTCATTTGGAGTTTAGCCACCATCAACCATCATCTGATTTGACAATGATTGAAAGCACCTGTGCCTTTGCAGACCAACAGTCTTCAGAGGCTGTTTTTGATTTTAGGAGAAGCGTTCTGCTTTCCTTTAGTTTTTTTTGTTTTGTTTTACCTTTGAATATATTTGTTAAGTGGAAAGAAATGCAGGATGCCACTCAGTGCTTTAATGGTGGGAAAATGCTGGAATCTACAGTAGTTTCTCAGGACACTGTGTTATTTGTTAATGCTGTGGATCTGTTTTCTGGTGTTTTACCTCCCACTCATTCATCAATATTGTAGATACAGACACACAAGGTGCAGCGACGGTCATGTGAAAAGATTTTATTTGATATACATAATTGAAGTTCTTAGAATCGGGTGAAGAACACAACAGAAGAAGCAGTGTGGGGAAAAACAAAGTCCACCCTGACAACATC